TTGAAAGGGTAACAACACAAACAAAGTTTCAGCTGGAAAGAAGTCTTGCTTAGCTGGAGATACTGGGAACACCACCCTCTGATAATGTATGCAATGCATATCACATATCTTAACAAATTTGGATTTCCCCTGGGACTAATTTTGGATGCCCCAAGTTTACTGCTGATAAGCTGCATGTTGCACGACAATTCTTACGAATAACTTCACTTCTAAAATGCCCCAAGCTATATGGTTGATAAGGAGAAATCGTCTCAAGAGGATTTTACAAAAGACCTGGCATTCACTATGCTCTGGTGTCTTCAAACTCTTAGAGAGATTCATCAAATCTCTACGTGATTGCCCCGGATTGACTGTAGTCGGCACAACAAAGTCTTCGAATTTTTGCCCCAAACGAGCAAACAAGTTGGGAAAAGCATTAACTGGGAGAAGCAACATGTTCGTGCTTACGGTCTTCAGGTGACATGCCCCTGGATATGATTTTTTCTTGACGTGGTCCGCCAATTACTCAACATAGTTTCAGGCCTTAAAAGAATAAACTCATCACTGGTGCTTATGTGAGCTTCCTTGATATCAAACAAATGTTTTGCAATTAGAAAAAGTTTATAATGAGAATGAAAATTCTAATGCAACAGTTATGTAAGTCTTGAAGATTTTGAAAAGACATCGCACCAATTTTGCGAGTTAGAGCACCATTTATTTTTGTGTAGGAAAAACATATGATACCAACATAACTATTTAGAACATTCATGGGAGTCAGGAACACTATCTCATTGAAGTATGCTTTCAAAATAACCTTGCTTCAATTAGGACTTTTGAAGGTTGTAACGTGGTCTGGTTCATGGTTTTTTAGAAAAAAGATTTTAAGGCTCAAAATATTTGGTGCCCACCCATTCTTCATGATGTTATCCAGCCCTATGTTCAGTTAATTCAAACGTGAGTGTTCATCTCTCAAAAGGATTTTGTGACGGTCAAGGAAACGACGAAGCTTTCGGAGTAGAAACCCCCTCATGTCTTCGTGTTTGTAGTCACCAATTTGTTCTTTGCTGAGGACTTTTCTTTGCAGTCCTTTTCTTTGCAATTTTTATTTTCCCTAACTTTTGCCTGAACTAATTCTTTTGAATTGATAGTCCAGCGGGATGCCTTAATTTTGCCTAAGTCACACGTTTTCATGTTTTTTTTGACTTAGCAGGCTTTTTCTTTTTCTCGATTTTTGACTTTTTGAACAAAATGTGTGACATTAGCTTGTCTTTGCTTGTTGAGAGGATTGTGATTGCCTCGTTTCTTGATGAATGAGGGATAACATTGTGGTTCCACATCCTCTAGATTCATTATACATGAAGGATAGCCCTCGTAGTTTCTCTTCAAAAAACATCTTCCTTATGAATTTTGAACACTCAATCAGATTAACTGAAAACTACCCTGCCCCAGGTTAAAAGTTGAGGTTTTTTCGCATAGAAAAGAAACTTCTACTTCAAGGCTCAAAAGGGGTTAGCAAGGGATTATCTTCCTTATATCTCCGGTGTTTAGGGATTTGAAACAATGCCTGTACATCATCAGCAAGATTTTATCCAAAAGCAAACGACCATAGATTTTGTGTTCTTTAGATCATCATCCTCCCTTCAATCTCTGCCTAGGCAAGAGAATGAGCAACAATTTGGTATCATAGTGCAAAAGCAATTTAAAATTTGAAAACAAATATGAGTGAAACGAATGAATTTCTTCAAGACAAACATACTCATTGTATTAAGATAATCATTCAGATGCAAACAAGTTCTTACATGCAAACAATGTTTTGATAAACAAGAAAAATTACAAAAAGCATAAATAAGTTAATAATCTGGGAAGGATTTCCATCTGGACTTGAATTACCAAAAACATCCTTCAAAAATCAAAGTGACCATCAATCATGTTTACTCTTCGGCACATGCTTGATTTGAACTTCAAAACCAACGTCCTTGAATGAAAAGATACCACTTCTGACCAACTTCTGAACCTCGATCTTAAAAGCAAAGCAACCCTCCAAGTCATGCCCAGGAGCACCTTGATGAAAGGTACAAGTCAAATCAGCTTTGTAGTACCAATGTATCTTCTCAGGAACCTTCGGTAGAGGTCAGGTCTGAACCAAATTCCTATGCATCAGGATAGGGAACAACTCTGTATAGGTAATTGGAATTGGATCAAACTGCGTTTTCCTCTGATTAGGAACTTGCTGATTCTATTAATGAATAGGAGGAACATGATGATTTTGACGATGAATATTTCTTCCTATGGTTCTCTTCTTGGAAAAGTTATTATCAAACTTCTTCACACCATTAGCTGAGCTACCATCTTCATATGAACATCCCTTTCTGACATCTTCTTCTAGACGCACTCCCATATTCACCTTGTCAGGAAAGTCATTAGGTGCATTAACCATCACCTTTTCATGAGAGAATGATTTTAGAGTTTCAGTGAAGACTTTTATCATCGCTTCCTCCCTCCTAGAAGGATTGACTTGGGCGGCAACCAGAATTTCAACCAAACCAGTTAAGTGCTCCATACCAGCTTTCAAAATAGTCATCTCTCTACGGAGTTCAGAAACCTCTTGCTTGATATTCTCCATTGTTCTCTTAGCGCGAGTGTTGTACTGATGAAACCAAAGGAAAAATAAGACTTGGAAAAAGACATTTGAAAGTGAAACAAAAATGTAGAATGATGCATGATATGCAAAAGAGAGTTTTTATTTGATTTTCAAGGAACTCAAGATATTAAGTTGTAAACATCAAAGTATGAAGATAGAAGATGAATTTTAAATTGGCTCCAAACATTGATCAAGTTATCATCAAGATCAATCATCCATTTTGGTGGATTAGGGTTTTCGCCCTATCAACACCCAAGATCCATTGAGCTTGACGAAACTTGTGATGTTTACAAAGAAAGACCTCCAAATTCCTTCAAAGCCAAGTGAAAAGGGTTTTATGGATGTATGAATGCATGGCTATGCAACAACCACAAGCAAGGTCACAAATAAAGTCGAAAGGTTCAACGTCACGAGCATGAAGTCAAGGGTAAAGAACATCCCTAAGGTATGTACTAACAGTTTAATCACACCTGTAGAACAAGGTTCTAAGAGTTCCCGAAGTCTACATTCCTCCTTCGGATATTACCAACGTCTTGATTACTCAATAATCAGCAATATTCTCAAGAGAAACTCATCCAAGCGTAGCATCGCGTAACAATTACTTCCAGATTACTCCGTTATAATCTCCGCGCTACACCTAAAAGGCCAAGATGGGTTAGGGTTCTACGGTTCCCAGCTTCTCTAGCTCCCAGGTCGAAAATAATAATGTCTTCCCGATTACTCGGTAAACAAATATTACGTTCAAAAGGGCCTTCCACTGAGTAGGGGATCTCATGCCTCCTTCTTCGGGATTACTCCCTCAAAGTTAACATGAATATACCGCCCGTCCTATTCCTAAGTGTAACTTAGTCCGGGTATAGGACTTGTCCTTTGTAAATATTATCAACATCCAAATAACCATAATATATACATATAATCAAACAATCAAATAATGATAAAACATATAAAACAAATTAGGCTTAACCCACTTAGGGATGGACCAGCAAGAGGTTAATCTTTCCCCAACAGAGTCTCCAATTCTGTAGCGGTGAAAATCGGAGATCAAGCTATTAATTAACTTGACTCACAAAAAGCAAGAGTCGCCACCGCGCTTTATTATTTCCAAGGGAAAAGGGAAAAGAGTGAAATAAAACCCTAAAATATGCAATGTATAATAATACTTAAAAGCAATGAAAATACAATGCGTTTTGAAAAGAGATCGAGAGTTCGGGGGTTGGTTATACAATGGGAAGGTATTAGCACCCAATGCATCTGCGGTACTCCACAGGAACCTTTTGAAATATCTGTTTTTTGGTTTAAAATTGTTTGTTTGATTAAAATGGTTCGTTTGGCTAAAAATAGGTGTTGGCGAGATTTTGAAGATGTGATAACCTAATGTCGAAGTTTTGACTTAAAAGGTATGAGTTTGAAAATGGAGTCTTTTGGGAAAATTATCTTAAGTTTGGAAAAATAGTAAACAAGCAAAAAATGAATGAGGCTATTCGCACGATTGTAGAAGACGTATTTGATGACATGAAGTCAGCTGAGTTGAAACATTTCCCTTGGAATTAATCATAAGCAGGTAGATCTAATATTCGAGTAAGAAATCATAAATAATTAAAATCCACGAGAAACGAACAAGGTAGATATCAAGATAAATTGTAAGAAACTAAATGAATGGACAAAGAAGAATCATGAATAAAAGAAAAGTATAATAAAAAAAAATTATCTAAACTAATTTGAAATTCTAAGGTTACTAAGTAAACTAAACTTAAATTCTAAAGTGTCTAACTAAATTAAATAAAATTTTGAAGTTATTAACTAAAATTCGAAAGTTATTTAAATTAAATCTAAAATAAATTAACACTCTAATATTACTGAATTAGGTCTAAACTAAATTAATTCTAAAGTTGCTGAATTACATCTAAACTAGTTTAAGTATAAACTAAATTCATTATAAAATTACTAATTTAATCTAAACTATACTGATAATAAAATTACTAACTTTAAATCAAAACTAAATTAATTCTAAATTAAAGATTAAAATTCTAAGATTAAATTAAAATTCTAAAGTTATCAAAATGTATCTAAACTAATTGGAAGTTCAAAAATTATAAAATAGATCTAAACAAATTAAAATTTTTAAGTTATCAAAATATACCTAAACCAATTAAAGGTTCTAACATTACTAATTTATATCTAATTAAATTAAAATTCTAAAGTTATTAATTATGATTCTAAATATTTTAAGAGTTATAAAATACATCTAAACGAATTAAAAAAATTCTAAATTAATACTAAACTAAATCTAAATATAAGATTTACTAATATTTTTTTATATATATTTTTAAATAAAAGAGAAAATATATTGAAACAAAAAAAAAAGATTGCATATCTCTTCATGTTCTCTCGTCCTTCACATATACAAATATCCTCTTTCTCTTTCAAGCACACTACTCTTCTTCTTAAACCCAAAACGAACTCTACCCTTTCACCATACAGAGAAATTCCTAATGAAATCGCAAGCTACAAGACAGAACCATGGAGACAAAGAAAACCCACAACCATAAATAAAGCAAAACCAAACCTGATGAAAGTGTTGATCGACTCTAACATAGGGTGGCCCAGCGGATCCGGGATTGGGGTTAGTTCGGATGTACGTCAAAATCGAGAGGGTTGCGGTGTTGATCAGGGTCGTCTGATGTTGTGGTGGTTCGACGGCAGAAGAGGGTCGACTGAGTGCGGAGGTTGAACATGGAACCGGAAGAGTGCTTTGCGATTAGATCGGTGATGGCCACGATGCGTGAGATCGAAGCTTCGGTTTGGACATAGGCTCTGTAGTGATGCAGTTTGTGAGGTGATGTGTGGGCAGGAGGTGGAGCGTTTTGCAGGTGCCACGACTGAGGTGCACGTTGACGGCTTCTATGGCAGTTTCAAGTGGCTGTCCGTTCTCGTTGGTCTTAGTCGCAGTTGCTATTCCATTTTTCTGCAAAAACAAAACAAAAAGATAAATAGTGATGAACAGTGGCTTCAAGAATCAAATGCCGCTCATGTTAATTTTTTCCTTCTTTGAATGTTGATTTGAAGGTGATTTAGTGATTATCGATGGTGGAAACGGTTGAAGTTTGGTGAAGGAGTTAAGTATGCAGATCGATTTGTGTTGGATGAAGTTGTTCTGGTTTTTTTTTGCTATGTTTTTTTTTTGCAGTAAAAGTAACGTGAGAATAAGGTTCTACAGTAGAGTGATGATGTTGGAATGGTGGTGGATACAGCGAAGGTTTACTGCTTGCGGAATTAGTAACTGGAAGATTGGGTTTGTGGTTTTTTTTGTGTGTTGAATTCGCGGAATGGGTTTGCATACGGATGGAGGATGAAAGGTGATTGGGGATTATGCGCCAAAAAAGGGAGATTGGCTTTTTGCTTTTTATTGTGTGAGGAAGAGAGAAGAGGGAGAGAATATTACTGTGTTGCTTTTTTGTCATCCTTTACAAAGAAAGAAAGAAGTGTAAAAATAGGAAAATTCAGAGGGAAAAAATATCAGATTTTCAAATCGTTTGGCAATTTTTGTATCGATCCGTAAATTCTGCCAGCAACCAATGAAAATCAAGCATAGTATATTTAATATTTTTTTGTGACTAAAAAGCCCTTTAATGACAAAAATAAAAATAAAAACTTGAAAGTATAAAAAATAACTCAATTTAAAATGATTTTTTTGAATATTTTATGAATAAAAAATAAAGACCCAAAAATGACCAAAAATGATAAAAAACGGACGAAAATTTATCTGAAAAAATAAAATGAACACATTAAAATAATCTACATGTCACACAAATTAAAGAAAAAATATTCAAAAGTCGAAATCGAAATAAAATGATAATAATAAAAAAAATCAGGCTAAACAGACATTTACGGTTAAAAACGAGACTTCAAACTATACCGAAAAAATAAAGCGAGCATACCGTCATAATCTACGCGTCATGCAGATTCATAAAATGATCGGTAAGAGGTGAAAACTTGAAATATTTTTCTCGCTATTTTTTCGCACAATATCGAATCGCTTTTAATGGTCTGTCTATAAAACCAAAATATTTTTATTATCGACATATAAACAACTTGGAGCAATGCGACAAATGAGTAAACAGGTAAAAATGAATGATGTGAAATGCCGGGTATTTTACAACTGAAAGACGATGCAAACTTTGATTTAAACTGACTTTTTTCTGATCAACTTAAATACGACTAATGATGCAAAATGTGATGAATGAAGATATTTACTAATGATTGTGAATAAATAACAAAATATGATATGAAAGTGCGACTAAAACATATTAGGAGCGAAATTGGGGTGCAACAGTTGTGCCTTGATGAATCAGTCTTCGAGAATCCACAATCAACCGTACTTTTGACTTGGGAGACTCAAAACCTTAATTGAGGCGCGACACCTGATGCTCTTGATTCAGACCTGTCTCTGCACATGACACAAAAGAAAACATGAACATACACCTTTGTATGCGATTATAAATTAGTGATACATAGGCTCAAAATGTTCAAAACACTTGACAATCTTCACATGGTCAATGCTTGAAAGTGAGAGGTTAAAACCGACTGTATTTCGTGACCTTGACTTATCTTAAAAAATGCAAAAAATAAAAATGGGATCTTAGGTCAAAAATTGGGGTGCAACACTCAATCAATATAAATGAAATCTATGGACATGTACAGTTTTAGGGCAATGATATCTACATTTTATCTTCACAAATGCAAGCTTAATAATGCCTAAATGAAAAGATAGAAGTTCATAAGAGATATCTCAAAACTGGAAACTGTGAAATGCAAATGAGCTTGATTCAAGGTGCTGGAATGATCAGGTTAGCTTCCTCAAGTTCCCAGGAAGCTAATGCAATGATTAGCTTGAGCAATGGATGGCTGGAATGGCCTGGAGAAGTTAAGGTGCAAGCTTCAATTTTTGAAAATGGAGGACGATGAAGATGGAGTTATAGAAGTGTAGCAGGGTGTGAGATTGTTTATGTATGATGTTTAGAAGCTTTAGGAACCAAAAGTCCAAGAAACGCACGAGTAAATTTGGAGATTGGGTTCAAAACTCAGAAATGACAAGTTTTGAGGTGTTCTTGGTGATTCTCTGTTTTAGGGTGTTTCGAGGCTTAAGAATTTGTCCTTTAGCTTGCAAATAGTGCATGTATTTATAAGCAAGAGGTTTCAAGTGTTACAACAACTCAGAATTTGAATTCTCAAGTTGTGACAACTTTGCTTGTTTTTGAATTAAACATGACAAACATCTTCCTAAGGCTTGTACCATGCTATCTAGAGTGGTTGAAGACTTTAAACATGTTCTTCTGACTTTGTAGAGGAAGCTTGTGCAGGAGGAACAAGTTAGAGGCTCAATGCAAGTTGACTTTGTGATTAAAGTCACTTTTCAAGAATGGCAATGTTGCTTTCTTCCAAAAATGGATGAATCTTTTAGACAATGGCTCTAATGATTGGATCATGGCTCTAGAAATTGTGTAAAACATTAATTATGGAGTGACAAACAAGTTTGAGGTCTGCAAAGCAAAGATTGTGCAGCCTAGCATGGATTTGGTTCATGTTCATCCTAAAAATCTGCCTTGTAAAACAAGAATGGAACCCTAACTTCTTGCCTCCGATTCTCCTAGCTCAAGTATGATCTCAATGGTTTCTTTGACATTTTTGAAAGCTTGTAACATCCTCTAAAACCTCTATGTTTGAAATATTTGAATATTTGTCTTGGAACTATGTGAAAAATTGCTATGAAGTTAAGTCAAAATCCTGCCTAAACTAGGGCAAAATTTCACTGCCTTCAAGTTTCTTGAACATGTCTTCACAAAATCATAACTTGAAATCCAAGAATTTCTAAAAAACTTTATGCTCTACACTGTTTTAGATCTCATTTGGATCTAAATTTTTCATGTTGGAAGTTTCCTTTGAATTATCTTGCATCATGGTGTAAATTTGGCGCAAAGTTATGAAAAAAACATGAATTTTCAACACTTAGAATAATTCGAAGTCTTGGAAATTTTGACTTTTCAAAATGAAATCTTGAATTTTTGATTTCTTGATGAACAAGTTTCATATTTTTACATTTCTTTATGAATTGTAATCTTTGAAACTTGGTTTTGATCAAAAAGTCAAAGTTTAACTTTTCAGTGTACAATTGACTTTTCATCAGTTGACTAAAATTCAACTATCAATTAATTGATCTTGAGAAATTTTTTGAGCCATGCCATTAGTTCAAAATGAATCCTTGACATAATTCCTTTAACCAATAAGTCATTTGTTAGGTCAAAAATCAGAAATTGAACCTTCCCAATCAAAACCCTAATTTTGACTATTTTGCATTTTTGATGTTCTGATCAAATTTCTTGAGGAATTGTGATCCAAACTTGATAAAATGACATATATGAGTTCATAATGTTGATATGGACCAAAAATTATGAAATTTGACTATAAATTGACCACATTTGACTTTTTCCCCAATACATCTGATTTTAGGTCAATTGATCAATTGATTGAGCAAAAATGTGATCCAAGACTTGAAACTTGACATGAGCAATCTTAAGGGAACAAAATGATCCATGAAAGTCATATGGGGAATTAAAAGTCCATTTGTCCTTGTGCAAACTCAAACCCTATTTTTCAGTCATCGGTGCTAAAGGAGGTGTCTTGAGCTGATCAAACCTTGTGTAGTCTTGAACCAATGGAGATCTTGTGAGAGATTACTTGAGAAATGAGAGGGAAAATTTTGGGGTACAACAGAAATCAACCTATGAAACCATCTCATACCCTGCTTATTCTTCAAAATAGATCTGGGTAGGTGCGGAATAAACCACCTAGCCAATAGAGGAGTTCAACACTGAAGGGTCCCCCTTCTCTTTAAAGTGCGAGTATGCAGAGAGTGTAGAATATCCCAAAATAAAGTAGGCACCGGATTATGAGACAGAAAAAACCTTAACCGCATTCACATCTACGAGGTAGTCCGTGTTAGGGAATAGTACAACCCCATAGATGAGAAGGGCCAACACTTCTTCAAAAGCTTGTAAATCTAGGGTATCCCAAAAATAGTGAGCTTTATCAAATAGGAACTTAGCAGGAAATCCTTGGCCACTTCTTCTGGTTTCCCAATTTGCCACTACATTAGACCATTGTAAAGACAGAGCTTGAGCAATGTCTTCAGGCTTTGGGTCTCTTTCCATACCGTTGAATGGTAGCTGATTAAGGATAGGTACCCTTAATAACTGAGAAAACTCCTCCATAGTAGACACTAACTGGTAATCAGGAAAAGTGAAGCAGTGGTGTAACGGGTCAAAGAACTGAAAGAGCACCTTTTACATTTCTTCATCATGGGTTGAAGTGACCAATTTGAGAAGTCGACCATGTTTTTCAGTGAAGGGAGAGCTTTCAGGAATCCTTGATGCTAATTCCTTGAGTGGAGGAGGTACCTTCACAAGGTTGACTTGGATAGTGTTCCTGCAAGCGGATGCCATGTCCTACAAAACAAGACATAGATAAGCCCTATAAAATCCTTGAAATGGTTAGTATGATATGCCATGTCACGATGTCATGATTATGCTAATAAATCATAGATATAGCAAGCACAAGCAAGTCACACAAAGACCTTAGGTTTAAGGCTTTCATGGGTTTTAAGGTAATACCCTATTGAAGTTTAGATTCATTCAACCTGTCCTATGGATAGTAACCAGGTTCTAAGGAATCTCAATATCACTGATCTTTCCCATAAGTTTCATTCTGATAGGCGACTGACTCGCAACCAAACAAAACTCGGGAGTCAAATCTCAATGAGTGTAGCATCGAGTATCTGCCGACTTTGGGAATACACCAAAGACGACCATCTCACTACATCCTAATGG